CACACTCTTGCATTGTTCTTAAAAATGCTCTAAACTCTTAAATCTGCATAATTTGAACAACATACGTGAATGGATGGACTTGGGTGGACTTTACATCCTCCTTCAATATCACGATCCCCCAGACCCTGATGGACAAACTACTCACACTAGGACTAAGACCCTCCATATGCAACTGGGTCCTGGACTTCTTAACCAACAGACCACAGTCTGTGAGGATCCACAACTTCTTCTCCTCCCTCAGCACTGGCTCACCTCAGGGATGTGTGTTGAGCCCCCTCCTGTTCACTCTGCTCACGTATGACTACACACCTACCCATCCAGGCTGTCATATTGTAAAATTTGCAGCTGATACAGTGGTGGTGTGATGCATCACAAACAATGATGAGTCCAGCTACAGGCAGGAGTTGGAACACCTGGAGAGCTGGTGCAAAGAGAATAACCTTCACATCAAAATGAAGATGACAAAGGAGATGGTCGTGGACTTTAGATGGTGCAAACCCACGCTCCCTGAACATAGGATGATCAGCAGTGGAGGTGGTCTCCAGCTATAAGTACTTAGGTGTGCAGCTGAATGACAACCTCAGCTGGAGCAACAACACCACCAGCCTGATCAAGATGCTCATCGGAGACTCTACTTCCTCAGGCGGCTGAGACGAGCTGGTCTGGGAAGCTCAGTCCTCACCTCCTACAGGTGTGCAGTGGAGAGCATCTTGTACTCCAGCATCAACGTGTGGCATGAAGGCTGCACAGCTGCAGAAAGAGAAGCTTTGCAGACCACCTGCATCATGAAGGACCCCACTCACCCAGAACACTCACTTTTTGCCCCGCTCCCCTCAGGCAGGACGTTGTGATTTTTGCTTTTTTTGGGTGTAACCCAAACCCTGTGTACATAAGTCCATTCCACCTTATGTACCACATGGGATAGAAACAATATCAAAGTTGACTTGAACTTGATATGTACTGTACAGTACTATAAAATTTTATGTGGGTACTCACCAGTGAAGAGACTACAACTTGAAGGATGAGTTCAACTCCAGGATTGTTTGCGACTTTCCTGCCAGTTCTTTGATCTTAATAGATAGATCATTATTTCTGACTTTGCGTTGCAAAACTATTTTTATCACATCGGTTTCTCTGCTAGTGTTTGCTCGCTCCATTGCTGTTCTTTGAATTTCAGCAGCACTGTTGGGTTTCTGGGTCGTGTAGTTCTTTTGACTTGCGTTGCAGTGTAGGCTTATTGAAAGAAAACTACAAAATGGTGGCACCTGTCCAAATTTGTTGGTTTGTTTTTTGGTTGGTTCCCGCTCCCGTCTGCTCCCGTTAACTTTTTATTCCATACCGTCCCAATCACGTGAGTAATATTAAAGTTGACAATCGTGTGTTGTGTACAATTTTACTTTGAAAACCCGCGAAAGAGTGAGTCCGCGAAAGTTGAACCACAAAGAATCGAGGGACTAAGGTATATAATTTAACAATTCATTTTTTAAAGTAGCATGTGGAAGAACCATACACAGCCACAACAGCTTGGTATGGTTTTTTTTACACAATGAGGTACAATATGGTGTTAGTTCTGTCATAGAATATAACCGATTCACAACAATCAGGTATAGTCTTCATCAAATTTTTCATTTTGGCAAACGAGAGAACCATCGGTTTCACAGAAAGTCGAAACATCACAGAGTTTTAGTTTGCTTGTTCTTCTGGCATGTCAGATCTGAGCTGTCTCTTGTTCATTTCTACTACTAAAGTATTTATTTTATTTTTTTTAATTTCATATTAAGGTGTCCTAAAGAACCAAATAAAATGCGCACAGAATAAAACCGGTTTTGTTTTCCTTCAGTTTATGAAAACGACAGAAGTCAGCGTAGGTGTGTAATTTTTTTTTTAATCTGATGTTTTATTCACTAAGTATAATTGATCAATTACTGCGCGGTTACACAACCTCTCTACTTGAGTGACAACCTCTAAAATTTCTGAATTAATATCATGATGTTGAAATTCCTTTGAGTCCTTATACGACATTCTAATAACGTGACAGGTCTATTTAGAGGTGACAGGTAGGCTATTCAATACCCAGGAGGAAATTTAGATAAATGTCAGCAGTCTAGTAAAACAAAGGAAACAATGCCACAAAAACATCAAACAAAATAAAGAACTGAGTAAACTTTCCATCTTTAAATGAACTTTAAAGTGTTTCAGAGAGGTTATCATCTTTACCCCCTTCTTCCTATCCAGCAATCACTGTGCGAGAGGTGGGGGACACCTGGACAGGTCTCCAGTCCATCACAGGGACGCATAAAGACAAACAACCATTCACTCTCTTACTCACACCTAGGGACAATTTAGAAAGGGACCTTTCTGGGTAGAGTTTGCATGTTCTGTCCGTGCATGCATGGATTTTTTCCGGTACTCTGATTTCCTCCCACAGACCAAAAAATGATGCATGTTAGACTGATTAGTAACTCTAAATTGTCCCTAGGTGTGAGTGAGAAAGTGAATGGTTGTTTGTCTCTATTATATGTGTCCCTGTGACGGACTGGAGACCTGTCCAGGGTGTCCCCCCACCTCTCTCACACAGTGACTGCTGGATATGGGCACCAGTGACTCCCGTGACCCAAAAACCAAGAAGCAGATAAAGATGATGGATAGATGGATGGATGGATGGTTTAGAAGATTTTTTGCTACCAGACACAAAAATTGTAAAATCATCACCAATGGAAGCTTCTGGATTTGTTCTCAGGAAGCTTATTTTACTCACAACCTCCTTATTATCACCAAAGTAAAACCTCCCGCTGTGCTTGGCTCATTTTGACCCAAGGGCAACAGGAGGGTTAAGGAGGACAAAATGCTTACTGAGGACTACGTGAGCCTCTTTCTTCCATGAACCTGTCGAAAGGCGTTATGTTTCCCTGAACAAAACAAGACGAGACAAACCAACCATCCAGTTATCTAACGCTCCGCTTGAAACGGTCCCCATCCTGTCCCCAGGCGCTGCTCCGTCCTCCTGGGATAAAACGGTGAACTTTAGGAGGTGGAGCGCGATGCAAGGGACAAGGCAGGTAGCTGTGCTGAGATCACGCCTTTGTCTGAGCAGCTGAGGTTGTCTCAAGGTGATCCGGAGGAGGGTTGGCACTGAAGGTCTGTTACATAAGATCATGGACTAACAATGGAAACCTGGAAGCTCCCAGAGGAGCTTCTTGTTACGAGACTCGTTATTTTATGTTTGTGTTTTTACAGCCCAAACAGATAATTCATTGGGCTGTTTATCACCATTTATTTTAACCTTTAAAAAAGTCCGATGTGACTAAATATGACCCGTCTGATACGAGTGTTTCATTTAAACACATTCATTCATCATGTTCAAGACTTTTCATGAATAAATGTGATCACATGCGAAGAACGTATTGCAGTGTCACAACGGAGGTGTTTACCCAGAACGTACTGAGGAAAACAGAACTCAAAACCCTGATCAGCATATCTAGTGATTTATTTACAGTGATAGAATCAACATTATGTACCGCTCGGACACCCTGGGAACCCTGGAAGGGAAGGCAAGAGATCGGAGGATGTGAGGGGCAGTTGGATATTACAGCTTCTACATTTCTTACAGGACGTCGATAGGATGGTGATGTAGAGAGGAGGGTGGAGGGTTCCATACCATACCATACCATACCATTTTATTTATAGAGCACTTAAAACAGCTACAAGGCCAACCAAAGTGCTTTACAGACAGAACAACAGACAACACACAAAGCAAAATACAAAATGAAGTAAATCAGAATATAGACATAAAAACGATGCAGATAATAAATATGACGACAAACCAGTGTGGAGCATACAGGTTCAAAACACAGATCCTCTGGTGTTGAAAGCTACTGAATAGTAGTGAGTTTTTAAACGGGATTTGAAAACCGAGAGGGAGGGGGCCTGTCTGACAAGCAGAGGCAACTCGTTCCAAAGTCTTGGTC